CAGAAACACACACACATGCACAGAAACACACACACATGCACAGAAACACACACACATGCCTTAAAACTTAATGCCTTACGTTTTAAGGCATTTTAAGGCATTGTTGAGAAAATGAGGCAGGGTATCAACAGCTATTTGGTGAGTTTCTCCACTTCCTTCCCGTTTGGTGGCTTTTCCTGAGGTCTTCCGAAATAGCCTGTGCCGTTTGCTTCCCAGTTCTTTTAACCACAGCTTTGATCCCCAGGTTGTCAATGTTGAAGGCAGTAATACCAAACATCGATTTTATAATGAAAAGTTCATAAACATGAAGTTTCTCTGGCTGGAAATGTATTTTATGAGAAAGGGACCGGTCCAACATCTTTGTGTGAAATATAAAACTGAAACATGTAGAAATGTTTACTTCACATAAAATTACATCAAGTAGGTGAATAAGTTTTGCATCAGAGATCTGAAGCTGAACAGAAATAAACCTTCAGCTTCAGAGTCGGCGCACAGCTTCAGTTATTACAGACAGAAACCAGAGATGACCTCTGACCTTAGAGAACAAGAAACTCATCCATGCGTTTATCTTTAGTCGCGTTTCTCAGGTCTTCTGGAGAAGCAGCATTCAGTTTCTACGCACCAAAGATCTGGAGTAAACTTCCAGAAAACAACCAAACTGCTGAAACACTGGCTGGTTTCCATTACAGTGGGCGCAAAAGCACGATTTCACAATTACAGTGTTTCCATGAAATAAAAAATGTGATTAAAATCACAATAAGTTGAATAAGTTTGACATGAAGCGTCATGCTCCTCCAACTGCTTCCTGTCTTCTTCTTGGTTTCCACCAGTAGCAACATCCTGTTTCTGATCATGTGACTCGTGTTATTAAAAAACACGTTTCTTTGAAATTCCCAAGTTTCCCATTAAGCAAAATTATTTTCAAAAGATCGAATTACTTGGTCAATAGAAATGCAGCTGCTGACTTCCTTTATATCGAGACTAAAATCACTTTAAACTGCCTGGAACCTGCTGCACACATAAACCTGACTTGAAATCTGAATAATCAATCATCAATAATTGTTTTTAAATGATCAGAACTGGTCAAAGTGGAGCTCCAGTGAAGTGAAACCCAAAGCAGCAGCTGTCCTACCTCAGATGGTTTCTTGTGCGGGAGGCGGACCCAGGTGCTGCTGGTGCCGGTGTTCTTAGAGGACCTGGACCACGACGTCACCTGACCTGCAGGACCGTTAAAAACACACATCAATCGTCCCTTTCTGGTCCCTTTATGCCGAAGATGTTAATTAAAGAAAAAAAATCAGTTTGTTTGAGATGTGAAATCCTTCGCTGCAGTTCGTTAGAAAGCTGGAGAAATGCCGAAACAATGATAAGGGCTTAACAATGAATCAGCAGGAAATCTGCACAACAAACATTATGGAGCTCAAAGTTTTTATCTTTTAAAATAAATTATTTTTTATTTCTTATATAAAATAGATTATGAAAAATTTATAGGGTGTAAATTGGCAGAGTTGGTAATTATTCTGATGTTATTTACAATGTTATTATTATAATTATAATTATTACTATGAATCTGTATTTTTTCCTGTCGTTAGTTTGTAATCATTTTGTTTATGTAAAATTATTTATTTGTTAGTATATAAACTAAGCAAATGTTGACTCCTCTTCAACAGAAAACTAACGCTAAGCTAATTAATTTGTTCTTGGTTAATCATCTCGTCCGACTGATAACTAGTTTTTAACAACTTGTTTGAATTAAATGAATAAATGAAATGAAAAAGCGGCTGAAGACGATCCATGAAGAGGTTAATTAGGTAACAATATAAATAACATCTTGTTAGCGCCCTGCTCCACTACGCTCCATTACCAGCTCATTAATACTCAACTTAATTATAATTAAGCAGAGGCTGCAGCCAGCATCCACCCACCACTTCACCCAGCAGCTCCACCGGGTTTCACTGCTTTCACTTCAACACTCAAACCACGTCTGACTGAGTCTGCATACCGAACAATGACAAATATAATTAGGCAGCATCCTTTGGAATGAATTTGGTTTAATGTGGCACATCAGAGTCTGAGCGCGCTCAGCACGCTCCTCCATCGCCAGCAGAGCCGCCATGCTGGCCGTCAGAGGTCACGACCTCTTCTGCACACACACTCAGCAGAATCAGTGTATTTATCGATGAGGATTCAGCTAAAGCTCGTCGCTGCCAAAGACTATGGGCTAAAAACCGTCGTTCCTGATGTCGCAGCGACACGCTGCGACATCAGGACATTTCGCTGCAGGACAAAAAGACGATTCGTTTCTCTTGCTGAACACGGCAAAATGAAACCTGGAGATTTGGGAGTTTGAAGAAGTTATTGTCATTAACGATGATATTGTTGTTTCCAGACCATTGTCCAGGAGTATAATGCTAATGAAATAATAATAAAGTAAGAACAAATTCTCAAAGGTCAATAAACTTTAAATAAAAATTTCATGCAGGAAATGGAAGACATTTTAAAAATCCAACATAAATAAACAAAACAAGAAATAAAATGAATTATAAAGTTTCTGCTGGTTGAGACCAAAACACCAAACTGAAAACTTTTATCATCCAGTTCTTGGTAGAAAGAGAGAAACGATAAATCATGCAAATAGAAATTATTGAGCTGGCTTTAATTTATCCTTTAGTTGATTTCTTGGCCCGGAGGGACCGGCCCGGAGCGACTGGGCCGGAGCGACCGGCATGGAGCGTTGCCAGAGTGACGAGGTTGTTTGGTATTAGGCTCCGCTCAGCCGGTCCTGTCTGGAGGTTCCTGGGACCGACCCGGAGCAGACGGGTCACACATCAGGAAAAAACTGGAGCGCCCGCTAACGCCACGCTGAAGCACCAAAATCTCCTAATGGGAGTTTGGTTCCCGCTCCAAACAGGCCGGAAGCTCATTATTGAGGAGCACATTGCTCTCCTCCTGCAGCCGTGCAGATTCTGCAGGATCTGCAGGAACCATCAGACTTTTACCTGCTGGTGCAGTTAAAGTCCAGCGTTAAAGAGCAACGAGGTCCAGGGTGACATGAACAGAAAACCATCAGACAAATGTCAGAACATCTGAACCAGGATGTGGGCGAATCTTCTGCACACTACACTGTAAAAACACTCAATCTTACCAAGTGTTCTGGTTTAGTTTCTACAGCAAATATCTTAGTTCACTTGAAATAAAACAAAACAAACTTATAAGTGAAGAAATAAGAGCTTCATTTAAGTAAATAATTATTCAATATTGATGAGAAAGTTCTAGATTATTTCACTCATAAGACATTTTCCTATTTTATAAGTGAAATAATCTCATTATTTACTTCTATTGACTAAAAACAAGCTCATATATCTGAAAAGTTACTTTTAAGTCAGTTTTGTCTTCTTTCAACTATTAATCAAATTTTATTTGTATAGCACGTTTCAAAAAGCTTTACATCATAAAAACAAAAATACAAAGACATACAAAAATAGTCAACAATTGAAATATTACATTTTCCCGTCATTACACATCATATTGTTGATTAATGTTTCATTTATGATGTTTCAAAATCAACTCTAAGTTGGGGGGCTTTCGGCTGTTTTTCTGGAGTTTATTCCAGATTTGTGGTGCATATCCTCCGATACGAGCTAAACAAAAAACACCAGGTAAGATTTAGTGTTTTTGCAGTGTAGCTCGGCTCCCACATGGCAGCTGCTCGACTCCGTCAGCTAACCAGATAACCAAACATGGAGGCCAAGCCTGCCATCATGGCTGCGTGTTAATTAGAAGCCGCACTCAGAGACCCAGAAGCCAAAATTATCCTGGGCATCCTTCAATTAGAAACCTGATAACCTCCAGTGAGCAGCTGCAGCTGCAGAGGTCAGGAGGAAACGCAGAGCAGCACAAACAGCCCATTAAAGATGCTGCAGAAACGCTGCACAGACCTGAGACCGCAGGTCCGGCAGCCGCGAGAAAGAAAACGGCTTCATGATCAGACACAAGCAGAACAAGGTCGGCACGTTTTACTTTTACTTCAGTAATTTTATCCTGAAATATTTCTGCTCTTACTTCAGTGAAATTTCTGGATTTTCTTCCCACTGAATGAAAACAAACATGTTTAAAGCAGAAACTCACCAGACAGACTCAAACCTGCAGCTTCTGATAAAGTTTCTGAAGATTTTAAACATTTTATTTTATTTTTTGTCACTTATATGAATTGTTGTCATTTTTGTCCTGAAAATACCAAAATGTCCACTTTACGTTATAAAATACTATACTTTAATTTTTAAATATTAAATGTTTTTCAGTAGTTGAATAACATTTTTATTTTTTACCTTAACTTGAGTGAAAACATGGAAGTAGTTCTGCTCTGACTTTGGCCTCTTCTGGACACAAATCATTAAAAATGCTTCATTCTTCCTCTAAACTTCTGCAGAAATCTCATTTTTAAATGTCAGCAGGTCTCAAAGCTCCACGTTTGACAGCAAATAAACTCTAATAAAATACATTTTGCACATCAGCAAGAGTAAAATGACCCTAAATGTTTTGTTGCTGCTGCTGCTTCACTTTGAAACTTGTTGTTTCTGCATCACCAAGACAACAATTCCTGTCAACTGGAAACCAAACAAATCTCCACATACTGACATCTGGACAAACCGTCTTCCTGAATATAAACATCTGGAAACATCAGGAAGATAAAACTATTGGATTTATCGATGTTTGGAAATCAGTTTTAGAAAATAAACACCTGGCGGCGATGCAACACACACCCCAAAAACTAAAACTACAAATATCTACACTGATTAAATAGAGAAATATTCAATTTAATCAGAATATATATCTGATCAATAATAGATATAGCAGGTCAGTAAAATCTGTCACTGACCTTTATTATCAGTAAGTTAACTGAATTAGTTTGTTTCTGGATTTTGACCAAAAATAAAAACTGATTTTATCTTTTATTAGCATTTTTATAAAATGATGCTTTGTAGATTCATTGATTGATTTTTGCATTATTGATTATTAGACAGCAGAATGTGATTAAGTACAAAATGTTATTTATTTACTCCTCTGATTGTTGTTCTTTCAATAATTGGACTTTCTTTGAGTCGCTATACTCCAGTTATCGATTAATCGATAACTAAATTAGTTGATGATTGTTTCAGTAATCGATTAATCGATAACTAAATTAGTTGATGATTGTTTCAGTAATTGATTGTTTAATCTGATTAATCAATTCAGCCCAAATAAAAATTATTCCCCTTTTTATTTTTATCCAATTGACAAGTAAAAGGGAGCTGAATCCAAATGCATCCCAGACTTTTATATTAACAAATCATCATTTTCATTCAACTTCCTAATCATGCTCCAGTTTTTGTTGGTTAAAATGAGGATAAAAAACACTCGTTTGTGTCTGTAACTAATAAAACCTTTAACATTTTTATTCTTGTGCCTTGAACTCAGAGAAACTTCCACCTCCAGATAAAAACATCCACATTTCGTCTTTCTTCCACTTACTGTCAGTGGTGTCGGAGTCGTTGCTGCTTGTGGAGTATTTCCTCCTCTTCTTCTCGCTCTCCATCTGTCAGCGGGGGGCGGCGGCACACCGGGGCGAGCGAGAGAGAGAGAGAGAGAGGATGACGAGTGAGAAGATGTTCGCCATGAAAACAGAAGAGCTAGCGACAGAAGGCAGCGAACTGTCAGAGCGTCCAGAGGAGAGCCTTCACGTATTCACACTCATTCAGGACGAGACTCTTTTGAAAAATGTATTTTTAGGTGTATTTTACTTTTGACTAGTTTTAATCTGGAGTATTTCTACTCTTATTGAGTAAAGTTTTTGTTTTCTGCTTCGTTCTTTGACTTTAATCCTGTTTAGTGAAACCAAACGAACCCAGAATTTCCTGTGCTTCATGAAAGACTTGGAAACGGTTTGAAAATCAGATCAATGTCTGGAAAAAATACAACTTTCTTTAAAAACGACTGCGTTACACTGAAAAAGTTTAACGAGTTCATTCGATTTGGCTGCAACAAAGTCACTGAATAGTCAAAACAAAAGGAGAAAAACTTCTAACAAGATTTTAATTTGTAATAACTGTCCTTTTAATTTTAATAACAAATATGAAACCTACAAACCATTTGATACTCCTGCATGACGTCCTGCAGCAAATAACAGAAGATACTACAGAAACTCATCACAATGAGCAGAAAAACAGAGAAAACATCAAGTCATACATCATAATCTGTTTTATTAATCAAGTTCTCTTGCAGGAAAATCCAGAGAAATATTTCCATCCCAAAGCTGCATGATTTAATAAAACAACATTTAGTGTTTTGAAAGAAAATGGAAAGAAAGACTTCAGAAAGCCGGCGCTGCAGTTCGAAACAGATTAAATTCAGAGTCCTGTGAGTCAAACTTGGTGATTAATCGTTAAGTTTGTGTTTTCTATCGTCGACTTAAAGGTAAAATCCAACTTTCACTTTCCACAACAACCGCAGTTTGTCCGTTTCACCGTGATGCATGAGTTTCTGTCCAGGGCTGCAGAGACGAAAAATGAAATGAAAGGAGGAAAATCAGCCGAGCGAAGACTGACGAAGAACAGAGAGCTGCTATAAATAAAAATAAATGTTACAGGTGAGGAGGAGAGAATAACAGAGAAACTAAAACAACCACCGGCAGCTGGAGCCAACATGTAAATGACTTAAACTAATCTTAGAATATGTTGTTATTCTGAAAGACTGTATTTATATCATCACTACTCATCTTTTAGATCTGCATAAGCTCTCTCTCTGGTATCGAAGAAGTTCAAATTTGAAAATAACCTCTTTGCTGAAGTTTCAGCAAAATTAATTTCTGATTGGCTGATCAATACCTTCTGATGGCTCCTCTCCCAGAAATCTTTGTATAATTTCTAATAGCAAGATCTGCTGTCAATCAATATGAAAAAAAGTTTTATATCTGCAAGAAATACTGAACCCATCGACTGCATCGACCCGAAGACATCAAAATAAATCGAGAATTTAAAAAGTAAAACTGTGGATATCATAAATGGGTCAATGGGCACCAATCAATCGATGGGTAAATGGAATAAGGTAAAATCTGAGATGTAAGACTTTTTTAGACCATTATGAATTAAATCTAAGACCTTTATCAAGACAGAAATGTTCAAATTAAGTTATATGTGTGATTTATATCAACAGAAGTGACCCAATGTTTAAGATGAACATCATCCAGGCAACTGGTGATACATTTTCATAATGGCTGTAAAAAAGCTAGCTGGCGTTAGCAGCTATTAGCAGCTAGTTACCGGTAGCCACAAAACGCAAGAACTACATAGAAAATACAAGCCTCAATATTCCCCAACATCAACATTTAATACCTCTGAGGATGTTTTTTAATGTATTTAATCCATTTTAAGGTTTTTTTTTTAGACTTTTTAAAGATGCGCAGCCAGGATGGATTCACTGCCCTTTTCTACGACCTCTAAAGCATCAACCACGGGAATTTCACCAGAAAGAGCATCTTTTCTCCCGCAGTCAGGATCTGATCGATCTGCAATCTGTCAAAAATTACTTCAGCAGTTCCACCTCACAGCAGACCTTTATGTCAGCTTCAGCTGCCTCCCACTCCAAGTTAATGTGCAACTCAGGGGGAAAAACGTCGTCAGCCCATGAAGCCTGAGGGGAAGTGAAGCAAGAATGCAAATAAATATACATGAAGCCAAGAGGAAATTAGCTTCAATGAAAAAAGTTCACCAGGACTGGAAAATCTGAGAAATAAAAACCTGAGAGATGAATCATCCTGCAGCTAAAACGGCAGAGCTCCTTCACCTGCAGCTTCATGGAGACATTGAAAGGTGTTTCCATGAACAGGTTAGGATCCATAGATCCCTAAAACCGCTCACCGATCAGACGGGAATCCAGACACGCTGCTGCTGGCCACACCCCCAACTCAACGTTTACAAATTATGCAACCATACATCTTTGAAAAGCATTAGTGGAGCATCCTGCACAACCAACAAGAATGCAGCAAGTTGTTTCTTGATGGCAAGTCTGGACTGCATCTGTCATGATAAAAATTTAGCTGAGTTACAGAATTTATTGCAACAATAATGTTGTTTTGAGAACGTGTTCATGTCATAATGGTGATAATGCAAGAAGACATGAGATCAACAAACTTTAAATTCTAAAGAACATTTAAAACTGGAAGACATTTTAAATATCCAAAATAAATAAACAACATAAATTAATTATGGAGTCTCTGGAAACAAAACAGTCCTTCAAAAAAAGGTTTAGTTGAGTCCAAAGCAGCAGACTGAAGAAAAACGATGAATTTACACCCCATTTGCATTACATGCAAATGGAAATCATTGAGCTTGTTTTAATTTATCATGTGATTGATTAATTAATTTATTGTGACAGGCATATCACCAACAAAACTATTGTCTTTTCCAGCACCCACTGTACAACACATACCAGCTGACCAAACATGCTGGAGATCAGCTGGGGTTGCTAGGCAACATCATAGTGCCTGTCAAATGTGATTTTTTTGAAACTTCTTGCCAGAAGACGGCTAGGTGTTTGTTTTAAAACGCTCGGTCTGTCTTTAGACTCAAATGGAAAAACAAAACATGCAAAATGTGAGAACAAAGGATAAAAAAATGAGAAATCATCAAATGAAACGGCAACGATTCTGAAATTCACTTTGAGCAAACTTCCACATCCAGGCAGGAAACCCAAAAAGAGGCGGTTTAGTGTGCAGAGGGCAGATTTATGTGGCAGTAAAATGGGGCAATTCCCTCCTCTATGGGACTCTTCCTGTTCCTCAGTCTCCCCGCCTGCCGTGCGCACACTTAACCACGCTGACATTTATGCTGACAAAAACATACACAGCTCTCCCTTCCTGCCTCTGCCTTTTCTATTCCAGAGAAGCTTTTTATTCCCCTTCCTCTCCCTCGCCTCGCGCCAGCCCCTGTGCTTTACAATAACAAGGAGGGATGCAGGGAGTCTGCGGAGGAAGGTTAAGTACATTATTGACTTCCTCAGCCTCTCCCCGTCTGTCAGCCCCTTCCTCGTCTCTCTGATTCTGACGGGAGCGTTTAGGAGCATCACTGTCTGATCCTTCTCAGGGTTTGTTCATTTTTTCCTTCTACACTATAAAACAAACCACTTGAGCCACATTCTGCTTTCTTTATTTCTGGCAGAGTGGTTGATTCCTTACCCACCTAACTGACCAGAGCAGGCGCTAAAAGATGCACAAAATCTCTACAAAAATCTGTTCAAAAGATGTTTAAAAAATAATAAAACAATTTTCAGTTTTTTGTTTTCAATATCACAAAATTTAAACTTGGGCTACAATTATTCTATCGATTCTTCTGACGATTAATCGGGTAAAAAAGACGGAATATTCTACAGATTTTAAAACAAATTCAACTAATTTTTTAAAGAAGAAAATTAACATTTCGTAGCATAAACTGTACTAACATGGCTATCATTTAATGAAGCTAAGCTACTTAAGGAGTTTTGAGCAAAATGTGTTTACAGACAAAAGTTTCATCTCAAAATGTTTATATGTTGGTACAATTATTGACCTGAACATGTTGATTTTACAGCACAGACTTTTTATGTGTACTCAAATTAACAATTAATCAGTTACTACATTGATTATTATTTCAATAATCGATTGACGACGATTAATCTGATTAATCGCCCTGATTTAAACACGTGGAAAGATGTCTCTACTTTTGAGGAAACTCCAGTTTTTTCCTGTTTCTCGGAGTCAGGAACTGTTAGGAGATAAAAGAAGCAAATGCTGCTGAAAAACAAAACAGGAACGCTTGACTGAACTGACGTAACTTCAAATGAACAGAGAAAAACTTACATTGATTTAGTAAAACTTTCTAACAGAAGAGAAGGAAAAGTGCAGGAAAAATAAAATCAGTTCACCTTACAGGAAGCATTTCCCAAACTAGAACTTTCTTTAATTAGATACTGAACTTTTTCTTTTTTTGGTTTAAAGTAACAGAAACTCCCTGAAAGCTCTAATGTAACAAATTCTGTTTCCCACACCAAACTGAACATAATGCTCGACTAATTAAACTGGTAAAAATCAACAATAAATTGTCCGAGAATTTATCGTGATAAACGATAATATTGTTGTTTTGAGACAATTTTCCAGCAATATTACTGCTATGAAATAATAATAATAATATAAGAACCAATTCTAAAAAATCAATAAACTTTAAATTCTGATGATCATTTAACACTGGAACTGGGAGACATTTTAAATATCCAGAATAAATAAACAAAACAACAAATAAAATGAATCATAAAATCTCTGTAAACAAAATTAGCCTTGAAGAAACGGTTTAAGTGAGACCAAAACACCAGACTGAATATTTTTCATATTAATTGAACAGTACTAACTCTGACATAGTTGACAAAATGAGGAAAAATTTTTATTTATGTAAATAATTTTACAAACAGAGGATTTGATATTTTGCTATTGAGGACATGTTGAAGTTTTAATTACTGCTCTGACTATGTTGTAATTTTAGCAAATGGCCTTTTTTTAACTGAGATAAC